CATTTTTCAGGGGAATCCTAACTTTTCTAAGAGACGCTCAATCAGCACAAACTTTGCACTGTTAGAAAGAGCTGGTGAAATGACCTACAATACCGACTCCGAGTTTTGTTGCAAGTTTCCGATTTTTTCTGACCCTACACAGAAAATTCAAACTCATCAATTTTCTTCAATCGCTCCGATCTATGCAACAGATGATCATTAGCAAGCAGCTGAGATGTCGTCATAGGCCCCGGACAGACTTCACGCGATTTGATCGTCGCGACTCAATCGCCAACATTTCCATTCATTTTCATTTCACATTCAAAAATTTCGGGCTGGAAATGTACAACCGAAATGCAAGTTGATCGGCATGGAATGATGTTGTAACAATTGTCTCGTCGCGATTCAGTCGCGACGATCAAATCGCGTGAGGTCTGTCCGGGGCCATAAAGAGCATGACTTACTCTTTCATGTAAAAACCAGTGCTTCACCTCTGCTTCGCAGAGGCTCGCACTGGCCCTACTATCTGTATGCCTTACTCATTCTCGCACAATAATGATATTGGAACTCACCGCCGTATGCAGACTACCACGAATGATTTGTAAACAACTATTCATTCCAAAAGCTTTTCCATATGAGATCGGCAATTTCGCATGAACGAAACTTTTCTCGAAAGAACAAATGCAGATTTGAGTCGGTTTTTGGACTTTTCATGGCTTGATATTCGTGTTAAGATGCCATAATCACCGTGGCCTACATATCTGTGCAAAAATCTTCTCAAACCATCGGGTAAAATCTTGGCAAATTGAACATTTACGCAACCAATTCTTTTTGGCGCCGTTTTCGCAGAGTAATAAACTTTAGTTCAATTTTTTAGGCTAAAGACCATGACTTGCACATTAACATGTCAAAAATATCCTTAAATTTGCAAAAACTTGCGCAACAGACTCAATTTTACTGGCCAGAAGCCAAGTGGATCCGGTTGACGCACATTTTTTGAGGGATCCACACAATGGATCCGCTCGTGCTTTTGTATAGTAGACTCTCATGTTGGTAGCAGGCGCTGTGCAAAAAATCAGCTCAAAACCTTCGTTGGAACTCGCTCCACGAATTTCGTGACAGACAGAGATTCAGACAGACAGACAGACAAACGTAAACAACCCTTAGCCCGTTATTATAAGTTATGATAAAAGCAGTTGATTCGGTTGGAAAAATCAGAAGTTATGAATTTTAGGAAATGGTGCGACAGAACTTTCGTGCGAACCTAATATCTTTTTAGTGATTGCTTCTCTCAGATGAAGATTCCGCCATAAAATAGATCTAATCTTCGACTTTAAAGTCACTGGGTTATGGAATCTTTAGGAGCATTCAAAACAAAAATTTTGATTATTTAATAATTTGCATCAGTTTGCGTTTTTCCTGTCACGAACATTGCTTTTTGCAATTCTTACTTCTCTAAATAAAGATCGATTTGGGATCTTGATAGTGGTGTTTGTAGAGTATGCTTACGGCATTCTGTCACATTTAGACCAAATTTCTCATTGCCATTGTTGTGGCATTACTTTGAATATTTTGGCGCAAATAATTTTGGCGCACCCTGTAATGTAATCGTACGTGTAATTATATATGTAACTTAAGAGTGATTAAATGCAAAGAGAATGGTGATTTTTTAGTCGTATGGGAGTCACATTAGACAAGTTTTTAAAAGAGAGTGAAAAGGGCGAGGCTTGATCGGTGCTCGAAAAATACACTGAATTTTACATTTGTTATGAGTAGGAGAATGCTGGAAGAAACCCATTTTGTAGCGCGCAGTTTGAGAAGGAATGCCTACTGATAGTATAGGCGGAACACGGGTAAACTGTAGGTGAGGCTTCAAGTGTTGTAGAAATTGAAACTACCGACTAGTGAGATTCCCGATTATCTATATATATATATATAAAACTCAAACACTGTACCGTGTTTGTTAGGATGTTTGTGGCTTATAGACTCCTTTGTATGTGAACCAAAGAGGCTGAATTTGTTTCCCTATAAACAAGCCACGGCGCAAAAGATAGGCTACTTTTTTCGACAATTCGCTGGGTCCTTCTATCGATTTATTGATTTGTTGCACTCTCAGTAAGGGAATGAAGCTTATCAGCAGCTATTGCCGAACCATTCCTACACTTATGTAAACAAGAGCAGTACGATCCATTGTGAACTTTCGTCATCAAAGGAAGGTCGAAAGCGTTCAGATGTAGATCCTATATATTCTGTCTAAAACTGCGAGATGCATCTTTTGCGGTGCGAGGTAGTAGTGTTGTTAACGCAAGTCAAAGCCTTTTTTTGATGCAGATGTGAGCCAATCGCTAAGTTACAAGCTGTCTCAGATTGCGTGCCACACTCTAGCGTTGGAACCTCCGACATGAATTCCAGCCGCATGAGCGTGACTCTCAATCTGAAAGCTTACATCATAATTTTGTTTATTGACTGAAGTCCTTGAGTTTTTTTCATTAATCTGTTATTCAAATGGCTCACAAGTTGTGGATTACATATCTTTAACGTGGTAGAATGGCTGTTGCTTTGGCTATAAAGGTATTCGCTCTCTAAAGCAAGGACAGTCAAAGAAGCACTTACTTTTGTCGGAGTACGGGAGAGGAGGGTAGAGTGCGGGAGTCAAAACAGAATAACCGATTAGCGGCGAAGTACTAGGAAAAATGATCCTCAGGATAGCAATGGGCGCTACATTATTCGAACGTTCTTCCACCTATATCGCAATGCTTGCTCTTCAAGTTTTTTCACGTCTTCCATGTTTCAAAAAGAAGAGAGACAATGCTGTTGAGTAAAAGTGTACACATTTTATTTTTATTTTTGCAAACAAACTTCAATGATACACTACTGCTTTGCGTGTCACATATATCCAAAGACAGTGAACCCTAAGTGATGTTATCCCGGGCAAGGCCGGGTACGACAGCTAGTATGAGACTATAGTAGACATCGGCCACACTTCAGGACTCACCCCGCGCGCGATGACCGCTTTGCCACTTTACGTGCTAATATTTTGTGCCTCACAAACTTTCCAGTGCTGGGCACCACGGGGACAGGAAGGGGGCTACAAGTAACATGGCTTAAGAGTGCTGGCGCGATTAGTCTCTTGGGCTGATTAAATGTCGCGAAGAGGCAACTCTTCTTAAAACTTCGCGCAATCCTGTGACTTGTGACCAGTTCTCGTTTACATCACTTCATTATTCAACGGCAAAAAACCGATGACACTGGCAACGCTGGCAGCACTAGTAACATTAGTAACAGTTCTGTGTATGGCTCAAGCGTTTGCTTAAAGGCAGTGCCCGGGCAAAAACTCGATATGCTGAATCCGAAAATCCTCATTGGAGAGCGCGAAAACGACGAAAAAGGGCTCTAATACTGGAGGGAAACCAGCAAGTGGGCGGGGTCTTCCCCACGGTGAATTCACGCTCCCAGCTTCGGGAGCGATCTTTTTGATTCCAATTTCAAGTCATTCGTTTGCACTTGATCGCTAATGATGTCAGGGCGTCTAACGGATTCGAGAACCTTTATGGTGTTAGAGCCCTTTTTCGTCGTTTTCGCGCTCTCCAATGTGGATTTTCGGATTCAGCATAGCGAATAGGCCCGGGTAAGCACAAAATCTCAAAATCGAGTTTTTGCCCGGACACTGCCTATAAGGGCCAGACCTACATTACGCGATTTCGTCGCCTCGCGCTTCTCCCGACCAAGCAACTGTTACGAGTCCATTGCATGTCGATCACCTCGCATTTCGGTCGTTACAGTTAGGCACATTGGACGTGAGGTAAAACTAAGACATCCGAGAACAAGATTCTTTACGTGATATTGTGTATGTGTGTGTTGTGTGTGTATGTGTGTGTTGTGTGTGTATTTGTGTGTGTATGTGTGTGTGTGTATGTGTGTATGTGTGTGTATGTGTGTATGTGTGTGTGTATTGTGTGTGTATGTGTGTGTATGTGTGTGTATGTGTGTGTGTATATGTATGTGTGTATGTATGTATGTGTGTGTGTGTGTCTTTCGTAGAGCATGTTCCAACCAACCTCCTAGGCTCAAATTTTGCACAGCGCACGCTACCAGCATGAAACTCCAACTGCAAAAGCACGAGCGGATTCGTTGGGTCTCTCAGAATTTACGCGTCATACGGATCCACTTGGCTTTTGGCCCGCAAAATTGGGTGTATCGGCTTGCAAAGTCGTGGATGTGTTTAGCATGATGATGTGCAACCATGGACTTTAGTATAAAAACTGGTTAAAGGTCTATTACTTTACGAAAACGACACCAAAAAGAAAAGGTTGCGTAAATGGTCAATCTGTTGTGATTTTACCTGAGCATTTGAGAAGGTTTTTGCATAGAAATGTAGCTCATGGTAACTATTGTCTTGTCCTTATGACGACTACCAAGCCGTGAAAACTTCAAAAATCTATTCAAATTTGCGTTTGTTCTTCTGCGAAAAGTTCCATCCACGCGAAATTACCGATCTCACATAAAAATGAGTAGAAGTAGAATGAGTAGTTGTTTACATTTTATTCGTGATGGTCGGCATTGCGCAGTGAGTTTCAAAGCCATCATTAGGGAAGAATGAGTAAGGCATACAAGTAGTAGAACCAGTGCTAGCTTCTGGAAAGCAGAGGGGACGCACTAGTGACTTCATAGCGGAACAGCCTACACCCAGTTGCTTAGCTGCACTAAACACACGCAGTGTGCTATCGTAACTTTGTTCGATATCACAGAGATGGATACGTCCCAGCGCATACATGAAACAATCAACATTTCTAGATCACTTTGACGAAAGCTGAGCTTTGTGTTCTGATTTCAGCTTGCTCTTCAAGCTTATGGTCGGTAGCATGAGCTTTTGCGCGCAAGGCGACGCTTCCTGTGACATTTACCGCAGTCTTCCTCTATTACAAACTTGTGACAGTTCCTGTCTCACAGCAGTTCCTTTGAGACCTTCGTTTCCATTTCTTTGACTAGAGCCCAACGAATTTAGAATGAAAAGGACGCACCGTCAGTATGACCATAGACAGTGTGAACTTCTTGCATGTATATGCAACAACCATCTTCGAGCAATACACGACACAAAGAATGCTTTCGGAATGGAGAGGTTATAGGTGTTGACTGTAACTTTGTGATATACCCTGTTATGCATGTTAACAGTTGTTGCATTTCTTGAGATGAGAGATATAAATCGGTTGAGCATTTACTTTGTGTCTTAAATATACCGCTGGCACTAGAAAGCGCTTGGAAGCTTTGCCGAAGTCCGAAACCATTATTACTTTGAAAGAAACTGCGTATCAGACCGCAGAAATCCAAAGAATCTAATAATGGTGAGTGTATCTAACGTCCCTTTAATTCGAGAAAATTGCTGCCGCTCTCCATCGCCAGTAGTAACATATTCTTTGTGCTTTCGAGGGAATCCCCATTGTTCGCTTGGCACTCGGTATTCTGAAAGCAGTAAGTGCAAACGTAGACTACTCGTTTTTAAAAAGGTGCTCCACCTGGTTTTGCTCTGCACACCGCCCTTTGCATAGTGCTCGGCTGTCGTACATTACAGCTTTTTCCTCCTTCCTTATACTCTCTTCCCTACTCGACGGAGACAACTCAGAAGTCGGCCGCGTTCCACAAAAGCAGTACGGCAACGACGCAGCTGACAACAACTCCACCAGATGTTGCTCAAATGCGATTTCTTCCCAGCTCCAGAGTACGTCCTGGGCGTCTGTGCGCTACAAAATTTTCATCGTCCAGATGTTTCGATCCTTGTGCGTCCATCGACCTCTTAATCGTCTAGTTATACACTTGCGCACAAAGGGCACAAGGGACACGGGAACTATACCGATATCAAAGAGGCCCGAACAATTACTAACACGAGCGAAATGAATGCAAAGAAAAGGAAGCCGGCACAGTTGGGCTGCTTATAGCTAAGGCTGAGGACGTGCCTGTGCAGTGGTTCGGCAGCGAACAGGGTTGCAGACGATAGAACGCCAAACGTGCCCACGGCCAGACAAGTCGGTGTCGCGGTGCTCTCGGCGAAACGTTATGGAAGTATCGATTGCGAGCAGTGATACCACCTTAGAGATAAAACTAAGCGCTACTCTCTGCATATCTTTGTCTCCAGATAAGGCCGGACATATCTCAAGCGATGAAATCGCCACGACTTCTAACGTCGCTAACTAAAGGGTGGGCCACATGAAGTGCGACACAAAAAGAAAATATTAGGTCTCCCGAAAGTTCTTTCGCACCAAATCCGAAAATTCATAACTTGTTGAATTCTCAACGAATCTGCAAGGTCTAAATTTTTATAAGAGAGGAACTCATGCTCTTTGCAACTGTGCTTGAACTGTTCGTTATTGTGTACAAATGAAGGAGATAGAAGCTCAAAACCAAATTCACTCAGAATTTGAATTTTTCGTGTAGGGTCATAAAAAAACGGAAACTTGCAACAAAAATCGGAGCAGTCAGTATTGTAGGCACTTTCACAACCTCTTTCCAACAGTGCAAAATTTGCGCTGATTGAACGTCTCTGTGAAAGGTTATGAATTCTCTGAAAAATGCCAAAATAAATCAAATTCGCCCTTTTGTATTGCTTGCTCGAAAATCATAACTTTTCATAGAGACGCTCAATCTGCGCAAACTTTGCACTATTAGAAAGAGCTGGTAAAAGAACCTACAATGTCGACTGCTCCGATTTTTGTTGCAAGTTTCCGTTTTTTTATGACCCTACCCGAAAAATTCAAATTTTGAGTGAACTTGGTTTTGAGTTTCTATCTTTTTCATTTGTACATAATAACGAACAGTTCAAGTACATTTGCAAAGAGCACGAATTTGTCTCTGATATAAATTTTAGACCTTGTAAATTCGTTGAGAATTCAACTAGTTATGAATTTTTGAATTTGGTGCGAAAGAACTTTCGGGACGACCTAATATTATAACCTTGCAAAGACTGAAAAAATCAAAAGCTTTTGTCCTCGCTTGATAGAGAATGGAATTCTGTTTAAAAACTATTAACTAACTTTAGAGATAGATTTTCCCTGGTTTATTTAAAATCGTTTTTTCTTCTCCAAACCTCTTCCAAAAATTCTTCGATTTGCGCGCGATGGTTTCTGCTCTCAAATTCTCACGAGGTTTCTTTCTGGCAAATCAAATGACACGTTTGAATAGCAGACTTTTTCATTTCAGGCAGACAGAAAATAACATTTGTGGATTAAAGGACGGGCTAGAGGGCCAGATATCATTTTTTTTTTCAGTGTACAAACGATAGATTTTACACAACTGCAAATTCTTCTTTTCGCTGTAGATTGGTGTCTAGTTATGCTAAAAACTCCCAAAAGCGTCCATAGTATTCTCTTTGATTTAAAATGTGCCATAGCCCTTCAAACCTTTTCTCAAGGCTTTTTCCAGAATGTCCAAAAACCGTGATTTTCGTCGCCATTCGCGGTTTTTGGACATTCTGGAAAAAGCCTTGAGAAAAGGTTTGAAGGGCTATGGCACTGACTTTGATAAGCCTTCAAGGTCGACACCATGTTTTACTAAGAATCGGAATCGGTAACAAGCATAACGGAACAAAAGAAAATGGAGAAGATGAGTATCACTGAAACATAAAATGAAAATACTTAAAAATGAATATTTGCAGCCTGTCAGACATCATGTTGTACACATATGAAGAAACACTGTTTCTCAAACATTCTTGAACCCACGAATTCTCTTTCTGTCCTATCTGTGAGCAAAATGCCTGATCTTCCAGATCCATTTCATTGGTTTCTTGAAAGTAGATCTTGGGACGAATTCCCTTCAAAAACCATTGCGCGCATTTTGAAATTTTCCCGAGCAGAATAAATTCTTTCACCAAAACCAAAGGTGGATATCTTAGAAGTAATCTACAATGTCTTATACGGAATTTTATCGTTTACATTGAGTCCTAGCAAAGTTACGAAAGCTTTTGCGCGTCACATTTCATGTGGACCATCTTGTACTGGGGACTAACGACGAAAACGTGCAACCGGATCGCTAATCGCCTGGGTATGAACGTATCTTACAGCGTTTTGTTCATTCTCACTCCATAAATCAGCGTACATCACGAATCACAATAACCTTATCGGATGATTTTTCCCCGAGCTTTGATGCAAAAACACAAAGTAACGAAGGCAAAACTTGTATAGGGGCCTGCAGGATCGCGAGAGTCGGACGTGCGTTGGCCATTACGCCGCACACGTCAGATGTGCGTCCGATAATTCAAGTAAGTGCCAGACTACTGAACAGGTTCATTCGGTTCACCACCTTTGCTGCTGGACAGTGTAGTGATTTGACCTATGAACCGAACGAACCGGCTGAAGCGAATAAGCCTGGCACCTGTCTTAGTGACATCGAACGTGCGCGGCGCAATGGCCGTACGCACGTCCGATTCTCGCGATCCTGCAGACCCCTATAGTCATCACCTTTAGTACTTGCCCATGATGTTCAAAATCATAAGCATTCTAACTCATGCCAGTATAATCACCTTTTTTGTAAGTGGGTGAAATTGTATATTGTTGTCAACGGTTTTGGTATGATCTATGTAACGATCGAAATATTATGCTAAATCGAATCGATCGTTTGCTTAGGCCAGATCAAAAAAAATCAACAAGATAATTCGGATAGAAACAAGAGCAGTGAATCACAGAAAACCATTGCCCTGACAAACCTGAACTAGTTTTCAATCCTCAGACAAGGCAAGAGCTTCAGAAAGTGAAGAACGATCATAAAATCTTTCGGCAGGAGATCCCTTTCCTAGCGATAACGACGTAAGAACTATCTTTTCGCGGAATTCGCGATTCGCTGCGAATTCGATTATGCCCGGCTCTGTGGGCAAGAAAGTTACATTAACATGTGATGTCCTTTCGCGAAAACACACAATTAAATACGTCCTTGCACTCCGTTGGATTACTGTATCAGACTATATCATACTGTAGTGTCTAGTTATCTCAACGCTGACTCTCATTCTTGTTCTTGATATACATTCAGTATAATTGATACAAAATCCTGTACATTATTGTTAAGGTGTGCGCGAGTCATTTGTAAGTTGGTATATGAGTCTGCACACTGGGAACCGATGACACCTCACAACTCGTCAAAAAAATCTCTAGCGGAACAAACTGTGGCAATATGTAATCCATTCAAACCAAAAAAGAAATCAGTACAAGAAGAATTGAAAACTGACAGGTTCTAACAAGGGGCGGAACCAGAGTCGAAAGTGCGAAATGTGGTAAGCTATATATCGTCTAAATCAGCGTGAGACGCTGATTTCAAATCTGTATCCGTTATCTGCCAAGCGGTTCTTTAAAAGGAGTTATGAGCCTCGGTTGCTCGTTGACATGTCAAGTTTCGTTAAGTAGGACCCGCACCTGAAAACCATGTGTAGTCGTCTGGTGTAGTGGATAAGCGCGGAGCCTATGGAGCAGATGGTCGAGGGTTCGAATCCCTTTCCCGTCCAACATTTTTGCAAGTTAAGAATATGTTTGTTTTGCATTGTGAGGGGTATCCCGCGCACATGTACGCACATGTACATGTTTTTTGCTCTTGACGGCTCGGTGTGCAAATCATTGCAGGATCCGAATTTTTTCAGGAGGTAAGATACCACCAACTGTGCCGAAAACATTGGGCAAGAAGTAATGTTCCTTCTTGTCAAACTCACATATCCATATATGTCCAATTTCTTGTTCAACATGTTTACGTTCCCGTCTCAACAATATTAGCAACTCTGCAGGTCAAACACAAGTTTTTCACGATGTATACCTCTGCTTTTAGATTTAGGCATAAAAAATCTGACTTAAATACTGCTTCAAATTCCATATTTTATATTGAGAGCAGGCACACTAGCACATTGTCGCACACATACACTAGATTTGATTCCATTGACTGTCATACCAGCGGCTAGAACCTTGGTGAAAGAAAAATTGCGAAAATCCCAACTTTTCAGCAGTAGAATATGATCTGAAGTCCGTACATGTGCGCGGGATACCCCTTATAGCGCAAAACAAACATATTTTTAACTTGCAAAAATGTTAAACGGGAAAAGGACTCGAACCCTCGACCATCTGCTC